GCAGGCTTGCGGGATTTGCAATATGACAGCGAGGCCCGCATGGCGACCTCCGGGCAGGGGGTTTGCTCTTAGGGCCGGCCCCCCGCGGCCATGTAGCCATGGGGTGCGGTGCAAAGGTGCCACAGGGCAGTAATTCAAGATCAAGAGTAGTACAGTGGCTGACTTTGGGTGGTAATTCAGTACCACGTGTTTCATGGCAACAAGCTGGCCAAGGCCCAGCCGGTTGCCGCTGCGAAGGCGGGATGGCTGGTAACGTAACACAACCAACAACGTGATAAATCCCCAGGGGCGACATGTAGGTTCTTGCCATGCCACACTATGCCGGGTGGGCCTTGGTGATCCTTGGTGTCTTATGATGGTGTGAAGCAGACATGCACCAGTCAACATGGATGACCAAGCATGTCGGCTTTTGTTACAAAAAACTGGGATCGGCAACCGTCCAAGTGCAATAACTGAAGCAGCATGAAAACATGTGGAACCCTGCCACGATTTTTCGTCATTTTCTCGCGGTTTTTGGCGTTTGTCCATTTCATTTGCATGGCGCCGCTGAGTCTCACCTGGCGGCTGCCTTGCGGCTAGATGGCGGGATTCGGCTAGCAGCCGGGGTCGCCTGCCACCGCGCGTCTGCCGGCACTTCGTGGGGGTCCGGCACTGTCCCCTCACCACAGCATTCCCCGACCAACGGCAGCTCGAAGAGAGAGCTGGCATAGGCATGCTGCGTTGCGCCCGCCAAAAAGCCGGCCCAGCGCGTCACCCATGCTGCCTGCGCCGCCGGGCGGAGCGCCGCCGGCACACCGTCAGCACCATGGCGCACCCACAAGCACAGCAGGCGCGGAGCTTGTGCTGCAAATTCGGCCGCCAACTTCGACGACGACCAAGCGGCGGGCGAGAACAACCACATACCCCGAATCTCATCTACCAAAGGTCAGAGTTTGTTTGATTGTGTTTACGGTTTGCAGAACCAAGGCACAATCAATTTTTTTTGATTTAGTAGAATTTTTCGCAGATTGTCATCGCGGTCCCAGTGCCAGATGCTCACGGGAGGTGTGACGCGGAGGCGGCCGAAATCCACAAGTCCACCGGCACGGCCCATCAGGGCATGCGGTTGGCGAAAGAGCAAGTGGCTGAGGAGTGTTTTTTCCTAATTTTCCGAAATTTCCAAAAATCGGGACCATCTACACCATCCATAAAAGAGGCAAACAACAAGAAGGAAATGCAATGACGAAAGAACAAGGATCCAATGTACAGACATCATGCAATGCAGTAGTCGATAGTTTGCCTTGGGGGGTATTGTCATCCGATATCATCTATGGGCCGCGAGGAGCACCCCGAGTGCGAAGGCCAACGGGAAGAGCACGCGCAAATGAAACATTCAGGTCAACCCCGTGAACATGATGGATTTGGTAGCCGCTCACCATGTGCATCATTTCTGCTTTGGAATACGGCTGATAATACCAGCAAGGAAAAAATGACGTCGTAATGATCTCAGGCATCACGTCGTCATGGTCAAGGATGTCCACGAATGAGGGATCTGTTTGAATATTTGGCAATATAAATGGAGTTCGCAAGAATGTAATCGGCTTCAAATAGTAAATCAATATACAACTGTAGGTGCGGAAGGACCACCAAGGCCAGCCTTAACGGCCCCACGGGGCACATGTCGTACAGACAGCTGGTGACCATATTTGGATCTGTCAGAGCAAAACACCATTTCAACGGCAGCCGGCTACCGCGTGGGAGCAAGCCTAGGAAGGGAAGGGTTCATGTCTGTGCTGGGTGTTTAGGGCCTGGGATGATTTTTTTTGTTGCCTCTTGGCGTGTGCTTGCCCAGTGAAAAACGAGCATCACGTAATGTTTGTCTATGGTAGCCATTCACATTGCATCACACCATGTAGCGGCAACAAGATAGGTGTAAGCATTGTACCATGTCCAACGCCATCGGAACGCAGTCGTGATCGAATTTGTGCTACAACGTAATTTCCGTTTTTGTGGCTGACCGCGAAGCAGCCATTCGACGCATGGCGGACGAAGCAGAAAAAAGCCCCAGCAAGGCCAAGCTGCCGGTTTTGTTTGTTCTTGCTGCCGGGTATTTCGGGTAGAAGAATGTGCGTGCAGCGGGAAGAGCTGTAGACATGGTTGTCATTTGTTTGTAACGATTTGCGTTTTGTAGACATGGTGTTCGGGGGCAATGAATGCCTTGCCAAAAACTTCGTTGGCACTCGTGTGTTTATCCGTACGCCACCACCAGCATATCATAGCATCAGCGGGTTGGGCAGTAAATTTTATTTTGCAACAATTGCTGTTTGTCGAAGAGCTTCCGGAACAGCAGCCAGGAGCCGGAGGCAGACGAAGAGGAAGTGGAAGGCGAAGGTGGCACCAACGAGGCCGTGAGTGAGTTGCGACCCTTTTTTTTCTTGCTTCACACAAATTTCACAAAATCTGGATTGAAGTTGCAAGCCTGTCATGCATGTGCATGAAGTAGGGTCGCTCTCAGTGGTTGGGCGGAGGATTCATAAAGTGATTGTTCACTGAGGCCGGCGATGGCAAGAAAAAGAAGAAGAACCTTGGATGCAAAGCTTGCTTGCAGCTGTACTTGTGGTTGCAAATTCATGAATAACCCATCCCAATTTTGCAGCTGCCAACTGACGCCAATTGTGGTGACACGACCTTCCCCATGATGCAGCTATGTTCCAATGACGTCGCGACATGCCAGCATGCATTTGCATTTGCGCAGTAATGTGGTGGAAACGCCACATTCACACATTCGGATTTTGCAAAGAGGTTCTGTCTCCCACCAGCAGTACAGTTATCAGCTTCACAATTTGTACAAGATCTGGGCAGGAGCTTGGATTACCTTTTGCATGTCAAAATGTTCGTAGAGGAATTTTCGTCAAGCTTTAACCGTATTTTCTTCGTGGATTACACAGCACTGAAAAAGTAGATTTTTTAGAAACAAAAACCATCAAAACTTCTTGCATGTTTACTGAGACATGCAACGCCGCAAGGAAGAGCGTAGGTTTGGGGCCAAACCATGTCAAACCAAAGTTCAAACTTGAGCGAAGGGGTTTCCCATCTATATGACGAAAATGCCCTAAGCGTAATCCGTTCTGTTCTTCATGGCCCGCACAGCAGCGCAAGGTTCCAGTCCGGTTAGCTCAAGCTCCCGCCCCCTGCCGGAAATCAACGGCGCCATATAATACACCATAGCTCCCACAAACATGGGCTTGTCCGGATTGGCACTTTGCACTGCTGTGTTCGCCATGCAATTTCAAAGACTTAGTTACATGCTAGCTGAGGCACATGGTTGTAACTTTCACGTCCGTGCGGGGGCATGCCACCAAGAGTTCCGTTTCATGGTAGCGCCCAGGAGCCACAACATGTACAAGAAAAATGCGAAACCTCAACCGGCATCATTTTTGGGACAGGGCTGGCCTTGGGCAGTACTTCGGACAGTTCAGACTGACCAAGGAAGAAGTCCGGCAAGAAGGACGGCGGTTACCCGGCAGCTGAAACTAATGACGGTGAGGAGCCTCCGCCAGCAGTCTCTTGGCTCAGGCAGAAGATTCCAGGTTAGGGTTGAACAGATCGAAATGTTTGCGTTTTGGTTTTGGAATTGCTAAGCAGTAGGTGTTTAGCGGCTGTCCGCTCTTATCTTGACCCCGTTTTCAGAAATATGTTTGGAATTCTTAGATACGTTCAAGCTGAGGATGCATCCTGTGCGGCTAAAGGAGGTGAACGCATATTGGTTTTCATGAGAGCTATCGATGCTAGATTGCTAAACTTACGGCCAAGTCTTGCGCCTTGTGATGCACCGGGGGAGAGGCAGCTGTATTGGGCAGAGAACCAGGGTCTGTTTCTCATATGTTTCCCTCCTATGCGCTCCGTAAAATTTCCCAAAAACATCTAAGGGTAGTAGGGGAACCTCTGAGACTGGGGTCAAGCACCGAACAGCATGTCTGAGGAGGGGGAAGTGCAGACGGACTCTCAGACCCAACTCCTGCAGATGCTGCGCAAGCGGGGGCCGTGCGAGGCAATCTTGGAATTCAATCATTTTGTGCAGAATGAAAAGTTTTAACCGAGGGCCCCTAATATGGGCTTCTACCTGGGTCGGAGAAGGGCCTGTAATTCCCACATGTTTCCTCCTAGATGTAAGGTTGCACCTTGAACCCAGTGGTCACAAGTATCATCTCTCTTCGTATCTTCTTTTCATTGCTGCCATGCCTGAAGGATTTCAGTTCTTTGACCACTTAGGCTCTGACAGAGGCTTCAAGGTGCAATATCAAGTGCTGGTGCTTTTGAGCCAGCAAAACCAGTGCTGTAAATGAATGCCTTGTTGATTGTTGTTTGCGACTGCGAGTTGCAGTGTAAGGCTGAGACTCCGCGCTCGAAAAATAATAATGCGACCAAGGGGTGCTCACAAAATTCGTTCGGAACTAACGCGCCCAAGGCTCCAGGGCCGTGGTTCTCTAGGCCCTGAATGAGAGTGCGATCCTGGGACAAGTGAAGGGTAGTTTCCTTGAATCGGGGAACCCCAAAACACTATGATCCCCTCCTTATCCTTCCTTACTATTGTTATTGGAAATCCTCAAATTTGGGCTTGCTATCTAGCATTGTTGTGCATATTAATTCTGTGGTCCGGTCATCTGGTTTGTTCAAAGCCTTTTTTTCAAATCATGCCTACTGGTCAGTACTTTCTACTGTGTTTGTGTGGTGTCTATTATTGATTTCTAGCAAAACACCCCCAAACATGAATATTCCCTTCCAACAGCACAGCGGTATTCTACAAGGCAAGGGCTTTAATGTTAGAGGGGTGGGGGGTTCATTGGCCATCAACCTTAAAATCTTTTCCATTCCACTACATACACGTAAGTAACCCCTTCTAGGGCTCGTGTGTGTACCGTTAGGGGGGGCAGTCTTCGGGATACGTACAATGCCCGAAGGAATCCAGGCGGCAAACAGCACGTGAGCACGCTTTCTGGGACACCCAGCCCGTTCCGTCCATGAGCTCCGAGTGCCCCTTCGGTAAGGATGACAGGACAGATCAGGACAGTGTCCTATGGGAGTTCTGCAATCAAAGGGCTGCAGGTCATGAATCATGTAAGAGTTTCTTGAGAATACCCGCGTAGACAGAAGCCAGCCTGTTGTGCTACTATTAAGATGCCTCGAACTTTTGCATGAAGAGCACAAGTGATGCTGTGATCTAGAAGGCGTAGATATTCTTTGTTTCAATTGCTGTTTCTAGAGTGCAAGCACTTTGCTTGAGTTGTTTAACGAATTCCTTTTTGTTAGGATCATTTCCGTCTCTTTCTCTCTCTCTCTCTCTCTCTCTTCCGCTTGTATCATGATTGTATCCACCTGTCTATGTGTATCCCTCTTTGTTAACGTGCTTTATCTGTGTTTATCTCTTTTGACCCACCTTCCTCGTACACCTCCTGCTGCTCGTTTGTTTGTACAAGCGTTTTCTGCTTCCAGACTTGCTTTTCTCTGCTCCTTGTCTTACTGGCCTCCACGCTACAGAGGCAAATTTATCGAGAGCACGCTGCGTTTTTTTGGTACTATAGTATAATAGGGTACATATAGGGTTTATGTAGGGATTATATAGGGATTATTTAGGGATTATTTAGGGATTATAGGGTATATATAGGGTTTATATAGGGATTATGTAGGGATTATATTGGGATTATATAGGGATTTTTTTAGGGATTATAGGATATACATTGGGGTGCGAGGTACGACCAGGATACGGGACCCTTGGACGTCGTCAAAACACCGGATGATGTGCGAGCAGCACCTGGGGCCCGCAAATAGCTTGGGGTAATGGAAAAGAAAATGGAAACTACTATAGGTTTAAGGTTTAGGGTTTAGGGTTTAGGGTTTAGGGTTTAGGGTATACTGGGGTTCTATTGGGGTAATGGAAAAGAAAATGGAAACTACTATGGTATACTGGGGTTATATCGGGATAATGAAAAAGAAAATGGAAACTACAATATTCTTACAGATAGAAAAGGCTTGCCATCGGCTGTGGTTTCCCTCAGCCGGACAATGTCGAGTCGTCGAAGACATCTTCCACCATGGATACGGAGTTTGGGAGTCTAGAAGCATCAGAGCAGTTGCGGTGAAAGGAAGAGACCTCCTGCATGCAAAATGGCCGTGCAGACAGACAGCCAGAGTGGGAGCGAATTTTTTCTCAGTAGTAGCCAGGGATGACACCAAAAGACATGTTGAACTTGGAAAGAAAGCTGGTTTCATGGGTGTTGCACTGAGCTGAGGATCCTTATCCATTACCAGCCCAATTTGAGTGGTGTACATGTGCCTCGTCTGCACCCAGCAAAGTCACCCCTGTGTGCCAGCAGGAAACGCAACGGTCTCTGCTAGCCTTGGGTCCGTCGGCCCGGCTGTCCAGTTTCCAGTCCTCACTCAATTCGTGCTGTGGGCAGGCGATGTGGGCAACGATGCTGAGATCATGGAGATCTACACGCTTTTGACGGAAAACTATGTCGAAGATGATGTACCTCGGCTGGATATCTGAGTTTCACAAGCGCGCTCCATGCGGTACTTCTTTCCAGCCTTCATCATCTTATAGGCTTGCAAAACAGGATTTAGCATCGGCCCTCCACAGGTCCCGGTGTTCCTCTCATATCTCTAGGCAGAAAGCCCGATAGCCTTTGAACAGGGAAAATGATGCTAGGAACCCTAGTATGTTTTAGGTTACTTTCCGCAACTTAGGGATATTGTTTTTTCTGGGTAATTAGGTTCTCTGAGGGTAGCCCCAGTTTCGGAAAACTCACCCGTGTGCAGGACAGTATGTTCCGCTTCGACTATTCCACGGACTTCTTGCGATGGGCGTTACAGCCACCCGAGTACTTGAGGACCGTCATGATCGTTTGCTGTTACTTGAGATCCATTATACAGAGGCTTTTGACGCACCTAGAACATACACGAATAGTGGGAGGTGCCATTGATTTATAATGATCTCGTAGTGCAGTGTGCAAAGACCAAGCGCCACATTGATTTGCAACAATGCATGTTGGTTGCATGGCCTGTGTTTGTTCATATGTTGAGCTTGCATTATCGATCGGACGTACTAAAGATGCAGGGGGAAGCGGTGTCTGCAAGTTCTTGTCGGTCCGATGGGAAAACTTGGAGGGGCATGGGGGATATGGGAGCAAGAAGGTTCTAAATGTGTATGAAGAAAGCTTGGCTGAGCTCAGCGTTTTTTGTTCATGTTTTATGGATGAAGGTGCTGGTCCACTCATTCTTAGACTTCACCCTCCAATTGCAGGAAGACATACTTCCTTGTAGCACGTGACTCGGAGGTAGGACTTTTTGTGAGTTTTCATCGGCATTCAACTCCCACAGCACATGGGATGAATTTTTGAGTCCCTTTTGTTTTTCCCCAGTGTGTTTTCGTACAAACATCCAGCCGACCAGCTGTCCTTCTGCAGTTTGCCTGCATTACATGACCCATAGTCTAAACTCCTTAAAGGGGGTTATATAGGGGATTATATAGGGGAGTATTATAGGGGTTATTAAGGGGGATACTAGGAGTTTAGACAATGGCTCACATTGCCGGGAATCCCCTACAAGCAGCTGGAGCGTCTCAAGACCAGCAAGCCGGGATCCCATGATCCCCCTGCAATCCTCACATTTTCTGTTTAGGGTTTAGAGTCCCCCTGAAATAGATGGAATGTGGGGTATATAGGGATGTTATTATCTCATGCCCAAAGCCATATTCTATCTACTTAATTGGGACTATAGGTTTAGACTGTGATGTGGTAGTTTCCCAAAATAGGGGAGCCCAATATAGACCCCCAAATACTATAATCCTTAATATAGGGACCCCCAAAATGGTACCCCTAATTTTAGGAAACTCCCATGTACACCAATTTGAGAATGCCTTGTATGGCAGGAATTGGCACCTGGGCGTTCGGGTCAAAGGTGGTGGCAAGCATCTGTGGCTGAAACTGATAGGATATATATTGGGGTTATATTGGGATAATGGAAAAGAAAATGGAAACTACTACAGTATTATAGGATACATATTTGGGTTATATTGGGATAATGGAAAAGAAAATGGAAACTACTACAGTATTATAGGATATATATTGGGGTTATATTGGGATAATGGAAAAGAAAATGGAAACTACCAGAGTATTATAGGATATATATTGGGGTTATATTGGGATAATGGAAAAGAAAATGGAAACTACTATATGATAATAGGGTATATATTAGGGTTATATATGTTTTTTGAATCTTCAACGGTCAGTTGGGTGCAGCGTTTTGGCAGGTCCATGTACAGGGTGTCGAGAACCCGTAATTTTTAAAAACCTCCAGATCTTATGCTGAAAGGTGCTCGGCGCCCCAGAGACAGACTGATTTCTGAGATCAGAATGTTACCCTCCTGGTAACTAACATGGAAACCCAAAAAGGGCCCTATAAAGACTACTGTCCTTTTAAAGGGCGGCTATATGGGTTTCCATGTTAGTTTGGGGGAGTATAACCCCAATATAGATCCTATAATACTGTAGTAGTTTCCATTTTCTTTTCCATTATCCCAATATAACCCAAATATGTATCCTATAATACTGTAGTAGTTTCCATTTTCTTTTCCATTATCCCAATATAACCCCAATATATATCCTATAATACTGTTGTAGTTTCCATTTTTTTCATTATCCCATTATAACCCCAATATATATATATATATCCTATAATACTGTAGTAGTGTCCCAAAAGCATCATGGGCTCTCAAGGTTCAGGGCACCACAACATGTTGATCCTAGTGTTCGAGGTGGGTAAACATGAAAAAAAAGACCGTGATCTTTTAGTATCAGGAGTAGAAGTATAGTACATTGCAATATATAGCTTATTATAGTGGTGTACATTACAACATATAGTTTATTACAGTATAGTATATTACAATACATTATTATAGTATACGTAATGTAGTATATTACACTTGTGCTGCTTGTCTTGCTAGTCTCGGGGTTTAGGGGTTTGGGGTTTAGGGTTTAGGGTTTAGGGGTTTAGGTTTAGGGTTCTGATTTCAGTTAAGTTCATATTAATTGAGTTGTGCCCCTGCCCGGGAACAGTGAGATGAGAATTGTGAAGCGAACCTTTAGTCTAAGGGCCTTGATATGACCCCTATTCACTGGGTGGGGCAGAACTCAAAGTCCACACTTGCCCAGGCTTGTGGGCTTTATCACAGGCATCCCTGCAAATATCCAGGCCAAGATCTGCTAGGTTTGAATGGAATTTGACAAACATAGGCAGTATTGGGAAGTGTTGGTCTTGCTGCAAAATGGTTCTGGAAAAGTGTTTTTTGTGAGTGAGTTGTCTTGCCAACTTGCATCATCTGATTATCAGTTTCAGTTTTGCGTCAGTATGGTTTTTGGGGGTTGCTCTCGTGTGTCTCGGAGGGAACTGAGATGGTAAGCTGTTTGTGGGCCGGGAGGTCTTCGACAAAACTATCCAGATGGCAGAGATCAATTTCCTCTGCGTTCACAAGAAGCTGCGGTCCAAACGGCTGGCCCCAGTACTCATCAAGGAGGGTAGGGTCTAGGGTTCAGGGTTTAGGGTTCAAGGGTTCAAGTTTTTTGCTCACTAAGGAAGGGGTGCAGGCTGATTTATCAGTATTCGTTGGGCTTAGGTGCCGGGGTTGAGGGTTGAGGTCTATTCTGGAAGGTTCTTAGAGTAAATAGAGGCTGGGGCTTTACCTTTGCAAGAAGCTACGAGTTACAATTATGAAGTTATCTCAGTGTGTCCGGGAATGGTGAGTCTTTCTTATGTTCTGCCACGCGGATGGTCAAGGCTTGGGGTGTGTTGTGGGTCCATAAGTGTGAGCAACACCCCATATTGATGCAGCGCGACAGGGCTTTATAGCTTGGCTTCCAAACCTGGACGCCGCAGGAGATCACGCGTCGCGTGAATCGTGAGAATGTTTGGCAAGCCGTATACACGGCTGGAGTGGTCTTGCCCAGACCTGTCAGTGAGTGCCGCTTCTTGGCCAGGCATTAAGCATCATAAGGGTTGAGGCTGGTGGATGTGCAGCTGAGCTTTAGCACAAGAAGTTTTCGTGTCACCAAAAACTGACTGGTCAGCTCCCCCGTCTTAGAATGAGTGTGGTGTGTTGCGTGAGCATCCTGACATGCAGAAGCTTAACGACATCACTGTAAGAGTCACTTGCTCTCCTTGCTTGCAGAGATCTAGGTGCAGAAGCCTTTGACTAGTCAACCTTCCATGTCAGTTGCAACGTGCCACGACAACACTCGGAGAGGTGACGGACTCTTCCTCCAGAATTTCACTTAGTGGGTTTGTTGCAGTTTGCAGGAGAATTTTCTTGTAATTCCTTGGGCTGCCAGAGAGTTGGCAGAGATGCTTTGCCACCCGAACAATGTCCCCTACATGTCCCCCATATGTCCTTTGTATACCTGTGTACCCCTAAGCCCTAAACCCTAAACCCTAGAAACCCGACCGGAGGGTCTTTGGTCAGGCAGGCGTAAAAGAGCCGATATAAAAAACAAACCCTAGAAACCCTGAACTTGCCAGGATATCATCATCGCTCCCTGAATCCGAAGAAGCTCATCGAGGTTGGCTTCTTGCATTACTCCCCTCTATACTACCCCCTAGGTTCCCTCCCTTAATTAAGGTTATTTAGAGGTAATCAGGCTTCGATAACCTTAATTACCTACCTTGGTTAGCTAGGGATGAAGGAATGGATCCTTATAGTAGTCCATTCATAACTTGTCATAGTAGTTTTCATTTTCTTTTCCATTCCTTCATCCCCAGCTAACCGAAGGCGAGATTAAGAGGAACCCATGCAGGTTGACTAGGTTCTTGAGGGGTAAGTAGGCTTAAATAACCCTAGACCCTGAACCCGAAATCCTAAACCCCAAACCCCAAACCCTAAACCCTAAGCCTTGTTTCCTTGTCCTGGAAGATGTGCTTCGCTCGGCATGTTACCTTGCGATACTGTCATGGCCACGCAAGTGGCAAAACCCTAAACCCTAAACCCTAAACCCTTAAGCCTTAATTAAGGGGACCCATGAAGGTTGGCTTCTCGCACCTGGGCCAGCGTATGACCATGGCCCGGACCATCAAGCTTTACAAGGCCCGGGATGAAGGTAGTGTAGGGTTTCTTAGGAATCAGGGTGTAGGGTTTAGGGTTAGGGGTTCAGGGCTTAGGGTTTGGGGTATAGGGTTTAAGGTTTGGGGTGTGTGGTTTAGGGTTTGGGTTTGGGGTTTCAAGTTTAGGGTGTAGGCTTTGCAAAGCCGTTTCGTTTAGGGTTTACAAGGCCGGGGTCCAGTATTTGGCATAGGGGTACCCTTTAAAGGGTTTTATAGGGGTTATATTTTCGGGTATACAGGGTTTAGGGGTCCAGTATAGGACCTAATAATAAGAGTTGTAATTGTAGAATACTAGTAGTAATCATTGTATTAGTAGTAGTAGTGATAATTGTTGTAACAATAGTAGTGCTGGATTTTGTATATTGGTTAGGGGGTACGCTTTCACGGGTTAGTTCAGTAGAGGATGCACTGGTGGGGACTGCGAAGGCTTGTAATACCATGGGTCTATGTTGGGCTACGACTAGGGTTGTTTCTTGCGCCTCCTTATCCATTCCGGGAATTCTTAAGCGGTTAGCGGAGGATTTCCTGCTATTCTTTCCTGCGCTTGCTGGCCTCGACTCTGATATACCCAGTCACAGGAAACAGTGAATGGAGTTTGTAGGAACCAAATTTGGTTTGCAGGGAGTTGCATCTAGGGCCTCCCAAGCGTCACGTAGCCATGACCTGCTCACTGAACATCAGTTCAGGGGTGAGGAGTGTTTGTGGCATGTTCGTGGCAACCCGCAAGGTTCCAGAGGCTTGCCAGCTGCCCGGCATGCGGGAGATGAAGAAGGAGGATGTTCCGAGGGTGCATGGCTTGGTGTCCAACTACCTGAAGAGCTCCAGCTGCATCAGACAAAGGCTGCCAGATGCATTCCCTTGGTCCAGTTGCATTTGCATGCGTGTGAGAATGACAGTTTCTATACCTCAGCCAACGGAACTGACGATGTGAGACTAAAAGTCCACGACTTCGCATCCAGCATGCTTCCTGAAAACGGACTGTCAAGCTTAATCCACTCTCCACCTCCCAGCGCACATCCCAGGAAGTTCCAACTGCATCCGGAGTTGTCACCTGCAGAGGCCATCTTAGCTTCCAGGGAATTTTTGATTTGGGCGTGCTTGGAGCTTTATTCCCTTAATTTCGGGCCACTTGGATACTTCTGAAATGATTGGCCGTCTTCTGGGGCGGTCAGATGTCTCTACATCATGTAGTCTGGCTTTGTGCACCCCTTAGCATGAAACCTAGAGCAAGATACGACATTGTAAGCCCTAAAGGATACATGAACTTTGCAGGCCAGGACCAAGTCTATGTGATTAACGCGCATCTCCAGACATGGATACCCGGTGATGTGCAAAGGTGGAGCATTGGATGCTGCCGCGGGAGGGTGTTGTGTACTGCTACGTTCGCAGCGAGCTCAGCACATGCTCGAATGTGGCATGCACAGTACATGATGCCTCCTAGTCATCATGCTCGCTGCACGAAAAAAGGGTACTGGGGCCAACCGCTTGTTGCGTGCTTGCAACCCTAGCAAAGTTCGTACAGTGTGGAGTTCGTTGATGAAATTGCAGATGAACTGCACAGTGCAGCTGTAGTTGCTTGTCCTTGCTTGTTTCAATGGCTTTACGATGGTTAAAACTTCCACAACTTAACCTCGCCAAAATTCCGACAGGCGAGAACGAGAAACGCGAGGTGACAGACGTGTGCTCCTTCTACAACCTGCCATCCACAATCCTAGGCCTTGCAAGCCTGCATGTGGATAGTTGTGGGTTTGTGGTTGATGAATGTACCCCAGCGGTCATGATTTTTTTGAAGTCAACAAGCCGGTTGCAACCTTCGAGATTTCAGGGTTAGGTGTCGCATGTCCAGCAGGTCCTTCTGAAGGCACCCACAGGACCCAACAGTTTCCATTGGTGCATGTTGGTCTGTGGAGGATGATAAATGGGCCACATCATGTCTCAAATATTTCGAGGCTGCACAATCCCACTTTGGCATTCTCTCCTGTATCACACCAGTCCAACCCCAAACCCTAAAACAGAAGTGCATGCTAAGTGCTTCTGGCAGGCCATGAGAAGCACAACATCTTGAAGGCAGCCTACTCCTACTGGAACGTAGCAACCACCGTCCCGTTGCAGGAGAGGAGTTGTAGTTTATGGTTTAAGTGGGGTATGAAGTTCTAGGGTTTAGGGTGTCCGATTTTGGGTTTAGAGGCCAGGGTTTGGCTTTAACAGAACTGTGTCTCAACTCGGTTCTTGTTCGTGGTCTGTATGACAAGAGTGATTTCATCTCCAAGCAAAGAATTCCACATACGCCCCTTTGAAAGGGTCAGTGGTCTTCAAGGGTGGCATTTTCAGGTTCTATGCAAGTGTGGGGATGGTAAAATACCATGTGCTTGACCCCCATGGTGTTTTGGCGTGTGCACTGAATCAGTGACCAGTGAGTGGATGCCCAGATCTATGGTATATTGGTAACAGCAGGAAACCCCGAATTGTGCCCAGCCCAAAATAGCAGGACTTGATGTATGACGCCCTGATCCTGGCCAAGCAGCAAGCAATCTCCTCAGCCTTGTTCTGTGTCACTTGTGCTCGTCGCCATCAGCCACGATACTGTAAGTTTTGAGGTTTGGCACTTGGCACGCCAGGGTTTAGCACGGGCTTTGCGCCCAGGTTTCTGAGCATGGAACTTCATGTGAGGGCAGGCTTTTTGTTGGGTCAATGCTCTTGCCGAAACCAACCTGGATCAGATGACCCTCTGTTGAGAGGGCTGTGCAGAGTAGTTGCCCAAAATAGGAGGACCCCAATATAGACCTGTGAATATGATGGTTCTTATTATAGGGGGCCCCAGAAAGGTGCCCCTAACTTTGGGAAACCACCATGCCCCATGGAGTCTATGTAGACCGGCTTTTGGGTTTCCGCTAGGACATGGGAGAGGGTAGGAATCTTGCTCACAGTCTTCGACCATCGAACGCCTGGAAGTCTTATCCGTTTTGAGGACTTCGATGTTTTCAATGCGCTGGATGTCATGGAAAATGACAGCTTCTTGAAGGAGATGGGAATTCCCAGCCATGTTGTCGACGCATGAGCTGTGGCTGTAGTGTAAACTCCTAGTCTCCCGCTTACTAGCTCCCCTAGTTGTCCCCTATATAATCCCCTATGTTATAACCTCCCTTTAGTTTAGACTCTAAACCGTAAGCCCTGCAAGAAGTCTATACTATATCTCACATCAACCGCCTGGCTTGGGCTGTTCATTTGCCGGGCTAGAAGCAGGTTTTGTTGGCTCATCTGCTTCTTTCTCCTGGAAGAAAAGCTGTTGACAATCCTACTTGTCCAAAGGGTGAGCTACACCCGAATGGGCATTCCCTCCATACTCAGTTTCCTTTTTCGTATCTCTTCACTAGAGAGGCTTACTGGTTCTTCGTAGGGAATAAGGGAAGATATTATACAGGGGTTACATTGAGAGCACCCTTATTCCCTACTAACACTGAGTAAGCAGAGAGTGAATTTTAAGGCACACGGCGAGCTCACGACACAAAATACTTATTGGTTCTTAGTCGGCAAAAATGGAATAAAATCCCACATACTATATCCCCTGTATAGTCTATTCTCTTATTCCCTACTAAGCCCCAGTAAGAAATGGCAGCCCTATCTTGTGATTATCCAGGAAGTACTGCTAGTCCGGATAAAGGTCCTTACCCCATATGATCTAAGAAAGGCAGATAGCATTAGGATTCGGATTCCAAGGCGTCTAGATAGAGCAACCACTAGCTGGAGACCCTTCGACTCTAGAGGGTGCCTTGTAAGTGGTTTTGCTCAATCACAAGAGAGCGAAGAAACGAAACAAAGGGCATTCAGCACCCAAACGATTTTTGCAGGTCGTCTGGCATATTATCTCAGCAGGGAAAGGCCTCTGTCACAAGAGCCCAGGAGAGATGTTCTTGGGAGTGCCATCTTAGGAGGGCAGACTTTGCTGAGTGTTCCAGCTGGGAGATTGACAAGGGATCGTTTCCCCCTGGCGCAGGACCTGAAATTCGGGATCGGAGATGGCTACTTGTGCCTGGCTCAACTTTTTACTTTTAGGCTGCATGCAGGCATATTCGAGTGAGTCTTGGTGGTCATATTCTCCCGCATATCAGAGACGAATTGGTATGAGGGTAGGGCTTCACCAGACTGGCTGAGACTTAACATGCATGAGGCTACAGGATACGGACAAGGATGCAAAGGGTTTGGGATTTGTTTCTTGGTCCTCAAGTCGGCAGATTCTGATTGTGTTCTCATATCGTGCCCTTGTGTTTCAAATGCCCGTGTCTAGCACTGCAACTGCACATGTTTGCATACATGCACCTCGTGAGGCAGTACTACCTCTACAACTGGAAGTGCCCGAAGATAGAGCCGGGGAACATGGGCTTAGTCCTGCTTTGATGCAGCTGGTGAGTGAGGCGTCTCACCAGGAGTCGGCGTTGCATACAGAGAGTTACACGCACTGATGGTGTCTATTAGCAGCCGACGAGTTTCAGCTTTGCCATATGAACCCCACTTTTTGGTGCTCAGCTGCCCTGCTGTTCCTTGACCTCCCATTTTCTCCGTGAGAAATATCTTTGCTGAAGGGCCCGGAGCATGGCTTACCCAGTCCCCCCAAAAAACAACAGGGAATAAGATAATATATAGGGGGTCACATAGAGATGGTGGAAAAGTGGGGTTTCAGTAGGGAATAAGGTTCATTCATCCTACGCCACAGCGAGCTGCAGAAGTATTCATTTACATTTATTGAAACAAAAGACAGTACAGGGTCTTAAGGTTATCCGCGCAAGCTCGAGTCTGACCCCTATGCATATACCCGCCTGTTAATGCCATGTTCTGATTTTCAGCTTGAACTTGTATTCTGTTTGTTATGCTGCAAAAGGGGTGTCAAGGTGCTGCGCATTTCCTGAGCAGTGGCCCTTTGCCACGGGGAGACTCTGACAAGCTTCAGCAAGCCTGCCTTCAGCGGATTTAGGGTACAGTAGGATTAAGGGTTTGGGGTGTGGGGCTTAAGGGTGTAGGGTCTAGGTCCTAGGTGTTTGAAGCGAAGGTGTGTGCAGGCTGTTACAAAAAAAGGATCAATAGGTGTAAGAATCTTTACACCATCCTGCATATGTGGAGGGTGTGGGCCGCTGAACCCGCCTGTGCATATACATGGTGCAGGCACGCGGATCTCTTGGAATCATCGGCACCGGGACTGGAAAAATGCTTGGGATGCGGGAGGTGAGAATTTCGGGAGTCCAGTACCCTTTTGGGCCCTGGAGCCCAATACCCCACTACCTTACTGGGCCCTTTGGGAATTGAAGTTTGCCACAGATGGTGTTCTACTTAACCAAGGGCTCTTCGACGTGTTCCATTACAAGGTGCCCCCTTGCAGTGGATGGAAGCTGTCCCCGCATGACTTGACTCAACGTTCCCGATGTCCTTGTTGCATTTTATTACCCTACCTTCCGTTTCATCCTTCATGTTCTTTTCCATTTCATTCTCCAATTCCGCAGTTTCCATGTTCCTTTCCATAATTGTATCAGCCTCTATGTGTACGTCATAGAGAGGCATCCGGACCTGCATGAGGCTGGATGCAGTACCTTCATATAGCTTAAGCATGTTCCTTGACCAGCCGTGCGGCTTGAAGATGAGGATGTAGACCTTGATGCGATCCCTGGATTTTAGGGCTTAGGGTTTAGGGTTTAGGGTTTAGGGCTAAGGGGCTTAGGGCTTAGGATCCACAAGTTTCAAGTTATGACCACCTCGCCACCCAAAACTCACATGTGTAGTCTTCCAGAGGCCTCAGCCTGACTGCTGCTCCCTCCGTTCTGTAGTCCTGCAAGAAGCCATTCAGCAAATCTTAAGTAGATAGAATATGGGGTATATGAGGATCTGATTTTGATATGGGTCAATTCCATATTCTATCTACTTGAGGAGGAGGATAAAGTGAAAGAAGTCTGGTCAAACTCAACTCTATACAACCCCTGACGCCCCACAGTTTACAATTCAGATCTGTGCTTCGTAGTTACCTTCACGCCATGGCTGAAGCGGAGACTGGCTCCAGCAAGGTCCCTTGAGTGTTGGGGATGGCTTCCTGAGCTGGATTCCAGTCTAGATTTGAGGATGGCGATGGGAATAGCTCAATAATAATGGAGATGTACAAGGGACGGGGATTGTCTAATTATTTGGGACGATTGTCTTGGTAGTTCCTTCAAAAATCTTCAAACTCAGATCCTAGCGCGCAAGATTAAGCTTTGATTATCATTAGGGCTTCTTCGCCCCCGATGCTTTCAGCTTGCCGTGCAGACCGGGCATTGGAGAGCAAGCTGAGAAGTAGAAAGGATTCGGATGAGTTTAGGGTTTTGGGCAATCAGGACAGACATTTATTCATGAGCTGTTGGAATGCTGGCCGGCGATATCCGAGCAGTCACGGAACCCGATTCATCTTGTTTCACGTGACAGGACAGGTTGCATTGAGAAACATACGGATGATCGCTTCAAAGCTTCGAGTGGTCTCTCATGAATGTAGAGTGATGATCTGGAAATTGCATGTTTCTTACACTCTCCTATAAGCCGTGCGGGTCATCAACACCCGGTCTTGTCAAGCTCTTGGTCATCTGTGCCAGCCTAAGGCATATTCCATTGTTTCAAGAACGGTTGGCACCCTCTGGGGCTATAGTCCCCTTAAGTAGATAGAATATGGGGTTTATGGGGATCTTATTATTCTTTACCCAATGCCATATTCTATCTACTTCAGGGGGACTATTTTTTTTTGTGTTCTGAGCTCATCAAGCCCACAAAGCTCAGCCAAAGTCAAACCTTGAGCCTTCCCACCCTGCCTCCTTGCCCTTCAATCTCGATTTGAGTAGTATTCTATTTTGGGATATTCTGGTACCTAATATAGAGTAAGACTCTATCCTCCTTTTGGGGTATAGTATTTGTATAGGGCATATAATCTTACTAGGTTCAACCACCAAAAAAACCACTACTCAATTTGTCTTGAGAGAACTTGGCTGCTGAAGCCGAGATTTTGGCAGGCATTGGCAGAACATTTGGGTTGCCCTTTTGCGAAGTTTTGTTGGTGTTGGTATGGCTTGAAACATCCTTCTAAGTGTTTCGAATGTAGGCCCATGAATAAGACACAAACTCCTTTTAAGGGCCTTAATGTTAATAAAATCAGGGGTTCTTGCATTAGCCCTGGCCATGGCTTCAAGAACAGGAGCCGAAGGCGGAGGAGGAGGAAGAAGAGGAAGAAGTGGAAGGTGATGGAGGCAGCAACGAGGCATGGGCTTGGTGCTTGCCATGCTGGACGTAATCCCTTTCCCTACTACTAAACACCCCGCCCTCCTCCTCAAATACCAAATGGTCCTTAGGCCCTGAAAGTGCCCATGTGTGTCGGGGATCTCATGTGATATTACAGGGTGGGATCTAATGTTGTGGTGGCCTTCGTGTTCAGTACCGAGGTCTCAACTAATTCATCCTGTTCTGTGTTGTCTGAACCTTCGAAAGTGTAGATGTGATTGTGCGCGGACCTGCTTTTCTTTCCTGTCTGAGCTCCGTGATGGTTGTTGGAGTTGACGCAAAGGAGATCTGGTGAATGCTTCCTTGACGGAAGGATATATTGGCCCTGCATAGCTCTGTATAATATTGTAGTTTCCATTTTGTTTTCCATTATCCCAATAGAACCCCAATATAATCCTAGTATCACCTTGTGCAGTGACAGGCTGGAGAGGGGAAGAAGAAAAAGACTCCCGCCCGGATGCGTTTTTTGTGTTTGATGTCACGCTTTGGGTAGGTGTTGAAGGTCCAAACTCTGAAGACGTGTTTAAGGTTTTTTGTTTTGCGACTTTGGAACCCATTGCCCGGACATCTGATGCCTGTGATTTTGTGATAGTGCCGGGGCTTGGATCTTTGGCTTGCGGCTGCCATCCCATGTGTCTAAGTCTAAGTATGCAAAACCCAGAGAGAAATTCCAATCGAGATCTTGCCCTTGAACTGCCTCTTTAACACCTATGCGCAATTTCCCAAAGCCCAAGGAAGAAGGGTGGCAAGAAGGATGGCTACCCAGCTGCGGAGGGCGATGATGGCGAGGACTGGCAGAGGAAAGGAGGTGCACCACAACAAAACTTATTGGTTCTTAATAAGGAATAAGGGAATGCAATTCTTATATAATCCCTATACAATATATTCCCTAGTTGCCTACTAAGAACCAGAAAGAAGAGTGAACGACAAGCAAAAGGAAGCCCGAGGTAGGTCCATACGCCCAGTACAGCCCCGAGAGATTCGGGCACTTTCCTGAATGACGCCTAATCTCTAAGGCCCTAAACCCATATGAGCTATAGTGTGAATAATTTCCGTCAAGGGGGGTTATGTAGGGTAGTATACAGGGAGTATTATAGGGGTTAAAAAGAGGGATACTCGGAGTTTAGGCCCTAACCAATATGGTAGTTTCCCGAAATAGGGGACCCCAATATAAACCCCCAGACAGTAGAATTATGAGGATCCCCAGAAAGGTATTTTGATTATTGGAAACTACCATATTGCCCAGTCTGAAGCGTAGGGATGATTGCCTCTAAGCTTTGAATGGCCACTCATGAGAGTGAAGTGACTTACTGGTTGAAAGTAGGGAATGCGTAAGGGAATATATTGTATAGATATCATACAGGCATAATATTCCCTCAGTCCCCACTAAGAACCAGTAAGGTGATGCCGTGGAAAATTACACATTCTGGGTTGCTTTCGAGGGGCTTAACTTAAGTTACTATATGGGGAATTCATATTAATTACAAGATATAGCCAATATGTTATTTTAACAGCAACCCAGTATTTCGTAGCCTCTCCTGCAGAGCGTGGGGGTCACTGCCTTGTCCAGTTCTTGGTCTTTTGTGCCGGCCTGAGATAGTATGCAGCCAAAAAAAGTGGCATATGATGCGGATATTTCTCGAACCCTACTCATGGAAATCCCCAATTCCCTGATCAAATGGGGTTTGTCAAAATTGTTGGTCCGTTTTGCGAGTCCTTACATAAAATGTGGATTGTAGTACGTTGACACCTCATATGTGTTCTCCTGGTTTTCGGAACCTGTATTGAATAGCTCCAAAGAGGCGTTGACAGCTTATGCAGTGTTTGCGACACAAGCGTGTCTTGAGGTTGCGGCTCTCCTTCCACGATGTCCAAACGTCACATCCAACAAGTTTGTGGGTCATCACAGCCACCATCATACTAGAGACTGCCACTGGAAGCCTGCAAAAGCACAGTCTGCTCATGAATGAATGATCATGCAAGAATTCTTGTCACAAGGCATTTTAGTGCCCCAACCCTATGATAAGGACCACATGCAGCAGCTATCACATGGTTATAGCAGGGTCCTAGTTGTTGGGGTTGGGAAAATTGAAAGCAAATCTTATTCTCTGAGCGAGTGATGATGGATGATAGCTTCCAGGTCAAGGGCGATGAGAATGATGCAAATGCTTGGACTTTCTGGCTGCAGCATGCATTTTGTGGTCAACGTTGTGGCCACTTATTGGCAATTGTATGAGTCCGCGAGCAACTCAAGCTTTCCAGTAACACTACCAATGCTAGTAGCAGACACATTCGAACAGCGAGGGAACACAGCCATTTAGGGACTAAGCCCTATAACTTAGCTTTGAAAGCCTGAGCCCAGACCCTGAACTCCGAACATAATGAACATGTTTTTGTGTTGGGCTGTCTATGAAATGCTGAGCCCTTAACCATAAACCCTTTACCCCTGGCCTTATTCTCCAACTCTCAGTGGTCCTTCATGAGAGACAGAGAGAGAGAGAGAGAGAGAGAGAGAGAAGCTTTCATAAAGCTGCATCATTGAACTTTTCTTGCGGCACTGTCCCCAAAAAGAGATTTTGAAGTTTGGGAACCCACTTAACCCTTAGCCCCAACTGAGTCCAGGAGGAGGACTCCCAGACACAGCTCCTCCACATGCTGCGAAAGCGGGGGCCGTGTGAGGCAGCTTCTCCGGGTTTAAGGTTAGGGTTTCGGATTTCGGGTATAAGGTCTACTGGGAGGGTCAGGGGGACTGAGTAAGGAGGTTAATCATGGGGATAACTTGCCCAAACTTTTTTGCACTGCATAGCAGCTCCTAAACCTGCCTTTCTGCAAGGAGTCCCGACGCCATACCGCACGTGAACATCCTTTCTGGGACACCCAGCCAGTCCCATCCATTGGATCTGAGTGGCTTGGCAAAGCCAGCGTCCTATTTAGAGGATTTGGAGGATCATAAGACATGAAAGGGGACAACTCATGTCATTGCAGCAGCGAGGGAGGTGGCACGCAGGGTTTTCAACTTCAGTTGCACGTTGTCATTTCGCGATGGCAGCGGCCTATTCCGGGTTACTCTGGGGCTCAGTTGAAATTAAAGAATAAGATTTAGAATGCTTTTGGGTGCAGAATGTAACTGTCTACAGAAGGATGGTAGAGGGCTAGCATTTACATTTACTCAGGCTTCAAACTAATTTCATGTGTTAAGGAGAAACGGGCTTTTGATCCCGGGGAGTCATGAAGATTGGAACATATGATGGGGTCGCCACCTCTGAGGGAGTTCCGTTTGCACTAGTTGGTGGAAATGGTAGTTTCCCTAAATAAGGGGACCGCAGCATTTCCCCATTATATGGACCCCGCCCCCAGTGAAACTCCCAAATGCCAAAGCGGGCGTTTGATCCCATTCTGTACAGAACCCTCCAAGAATATTCAGGGTCGAGGGATTAGGGTTTAGGGAAATCCTTGGAAAAGGTATGACGCAGATGCCGGGCCTCTAGACGAGATCAAGACGGTTGACGATGTCCGGGCAGCTACTGGGCTTCACTTCTTTTTCAGATCTTGTTGAAGGCCCTAGAGAAGTAAGAGCTAGATAACAACAAGGCGACGATCAAGAAGACCATAGACTGATAGCCGACACTGATTAGCTCAACTTCGGCAGCACTATCAGGAGCATATGGCATACGTAGTAGGATAGTAGAAAATGTTTCGGCTGGCCCATCTTGGCACGAATACTTCGTAGTTTGGGCATGTAACTCACTGATTTGGCATCCTCACATCCTATCAGGGTAACTTCCTCAATTTATGGGTATTGGGCAGTCTGGGAAATAGTAGCTGCACTTGTGGTCTAAACCCTAACCCCTTATTCCCCACGTTTGTCCCTGTTGTGCGTTTCACAAGGTTGTATTAGGTTCTGAGCTCTAGTTGAAAGTATTTACCTAATAGTTACCAATTCAAGAAGTCTTCGAAACTCACGGAGCCCAGTACCCCTAAATCATATTGAATTCGAATATCATTCAAGGTATATTCCTTGATTGAGGGTATTGGGCTCTCCGGGAACCCTTCAGCACGCCGAGGAGCCCTACAACTTGCCCGCGCAGTTTGAGTGGTGCACTTGCCGCTCAGCACAGAATAGGCAAGGCAAATGGACATTTTGTCCACAAAGATAGGCGCCCACAGTATACTCCGAAGTGGTAGGATCTTTATTCGATCCGAGAACAGAGCCCCAAAGTTGTGAGAGGTCTCCCCAACGAGGTGAAGGGTGTAAAGCATCCAGAGCCCTCACATTGGATATTATTTACTATAGCAGAATCTGCATCAGTTCATAGAAAGAACGCTCACAATCAGTCTGCTGCCTCTTCCTCTTCTTCCCACTGCCTCCACAAGTGCTAGTACGCTTACTTCTATAGAATTGATTTGCGGGTGCATTGTAATTGCTTCGACCACTGCTGCTAATGCCTCTGGCACAGCACCGCTGGGCTATGGAGCTTCAAAAGGTTCTAACATAAGGCCCCCAAACCCTAAACCAATAACCCTAAACCACACGGTGGACAGGGGCTGTCCAAAAACTGTATTTTGCCGTGATTTCAGTCCAGGTTAGTAATTTCTGGTTAAGCTACCATAATATAGGGGTTGGAGGGGCATATGGGGGTATATAAGGTTTAAGGTTTAAGGTTTAGGGTTTCGGGTTGGGAACTTGACGGGGTAGCCTACACTTGCTGGTCGCTAGGAGCGGAGAAGGAAATGGCAAACGCAATGGAAACTACTAGATGTTACGGGATTATACGGGGGTTACCCGCATTCCCTGCTAACAGCCATTAATTGCAGGATCAAGGTTTGTGGAGGCTACGAAGTGGTCTTGCGACCGTGCCACTCAATTTCAAGGGCACCATGCATGTCAGCTATTGTGCTGAGGCGATGTAAGCGACGACGCCGTGATGCAAGAAGTGTACACCCTCCTGACCGAGAATTACGTTGAAGATGACGAGCCTCGCCTCCAACCTTCGGGTCGGGACTGATTGGACTCCTTGTCATGTTGTAGGCTGTCAAAATTGTGAGTGCCTAGTGCATTTTGAGCATTCTTAGTATTGAGCGTAATATAAAAGGGGCCCAACAAGGGGCCGCAATTTGATGATCCACCACGTTAAAGTCTGATGGATGGTTTTTGTTCAGCATTTTTTGGGCTGTTTGAAGGCAAAGCTCCTACTTGTTCTTGCCCAGGGTTAAGTATATTGATGCAGGGCCAGAATGCTCTGCTTCAGCAGGGTATACATACAGCAGTCCATGCAATTCGAATAGTAGTCTCCTTGCCATGTCAAGGTAGTTTTGAAGTATGAGGAGCGCACACGCACATATGGCTCGATAGTCCTGCAGATCCATGGTTCAGGGCTTTGTGTTAACCTAGCTGCTTCCAAGGGTGACGTCAGGAAAACTGGCCCTTGTGATTTTGAAAGAGGGAAGGTTCTCACCTGCCTTATATTTGCGCCGGGGTGAAGTGTTGAAGCATGTGGCCTTGCAAGCAAGCGCAGGCAGCGCATGTTTCGAAGTGCAACCAAAAAAATCATTAATCTGCCTATCGGATGGCTCGTTTTGCCACAAGGAATTTGAATCGTCTGTTTGTTTAGGGAGGGTTGGTTGGAAGTCGCGACATTCCTTAATTTGCTGAGAATAGGTAGAGTTTGTAGCCTATAGTGAGGGAGCTTTGGTTGCAAAAAGCATCCACAAGCATCTGAGGACAGCATGTTTCGCTTTGACTACTCCGTCCCTTTCCTGCGTTGGGCCTTGACGCCGCCGGAGTACTTGAGGATCCACGGCCTGAAGCGAGCTATGTCCACACTGCCTCACATGTGTGTTGTACAGATATTCCACGTGATTATTCTGGATCAGCAAAATCAGCATCTGTCCATGCTTTCGTCGCTGGCATGTGAGTGAAAAAAAAGCCTTTTAAGGATCTCCATGTCTCAGGGCTTTCAACATGGAGAGTAGGAGCAAACAATCATGCAAGAAGAAGAAGTACTAGAAGGAGTAGGAGGGGGAATAAGAGGAGGAATGAAAGTAGGTGTATCGGGTATCGGGGTTCCTGATGCCCTAAGACATGGTTTTTGATGCCCTTAAGACATTCAGCCATGAGCTCTACTACTTTCGTTGTATTTGAATTATAAGTACCATGGGTAGTGGGGCCCGGCAACGTGGGGTTTGTTTGGTGCCGCTTCGCAAAAAGACAGTCTCGCCCCAAACAGTCCAAAACCGGGAATTACAACCCTACCACAGAATTAAAATCCCAAACCAAAAATCCTGGCTATTCTTCAATCCCAAGCCAGAAATCCTGACTAATCAACCTTCTGATAAAGGAACTGGCATTTGGGCGTGCGTGTGAAGGGCGGTGGCAAGCTACCTGCCTTGAGGAAAGCAGGTGTCGTGGTTCCAGAGCTGGGTTTAGGGTTTAGGGTTCAGGGTTCAGGCATGGCAGGCACCATGAGCATAGGTCTTTTGTTGGTTCCAGAGAGGCCTATACAAGGGACTGGATGGCAAGGATGGGTCACAATGCTTTCTTATTCAAACAGTTAGCCGTGGAGTGCTGGGGGTTTCCAGGTTAAGGTTCAGGGTTTAGGGGTTTAGGGTTTAGGGGTTTAGGGTTTAGGGTTGGGGGAGCTCCCAGCATGTGCATTGCAATGCCTTGAGTGGAAACAAGGAAAACCTAAAAGGTTTTTGTTGCTAAAGTGTGGATTTCCACACATGGTGGGCCCCCAAAATTAGACGCCAACATATTGTAACCCTTATTACGCGGACCCCCGAAACGGGACCCCCTAGTCTTGGGAGACTCGCAACTTCCTACGTTGTGTTCAGCCTGGTGTCTTTCCCTTACTCACCTGCTTAAAGATGGCTAGGCCCAGGAAGCCTAGCACCTCCCAATTGAGAAATACGCCTGGAATCACATTGGGTAGTTCCCAAAATTAGGGGTACCTTTTTGGGGGTCCCTATAATAAGGATTCTAGTATTTTGGGGTCTATATTGGGGTCCCCCTATTTGGGGAAAGTACCACATTGGGCCCTGTCTAAACCAGCTCTCATTTTGTTTTCCATTTGTTTCTCCCCTTGGGTTGGATTCCTCAATAGAGGCGCATTGACCTCCCGGAAACTCTAGAGCCCCAAATAAGTTTGTAGTTTCCATTCTTTCTTCCACTCCCTCTATATCCCCATCCTGGGTGTTCAGGATAGTTTTGAAGCCCTAAACCCTAAGCCCCAAACCCTACCCCCTAAACTGGGTGACTCTGAGGCTTGTGGGCTTCATCACTGGTATCCCAGCCAAGATGAGGGCCAGACAGGGCGGGAGAGGATGCGGGCAATGTAGAAGCTTGCGTGCTTACCCATACTACGGGTAGTTTGCGCTTTAGGGCATCTAGGTTTATATTGGGTAAGACATTGCTATACACTCGCTATTTAGGTTTTAGGGTTGGGCTGCTGTCAATGTTCACCTTACCATGGACACAAGGTCCCTTCTTGTAATTAAGTATATACTCCCCAATAAGCAACCAATGTCCATGAAACTATGTAGGAAACGTTGACTGTAGCTTGTTTGGTTCTTTTAATGCTTGAATAACTCGAGCGTAAACGTATTCCTAAAGCCCTGTTCTGATGAATTTCCCCTCCTGCTTATGTTTTTTTTGGTTTTCGGATTCGCAGTATGGGGTGTGGGAGGTTCATACTTGTTTGTGGGGCTTGACAGGAAGCCAACCTTCCCAAGCACTAGCCCTATGGGGAAGGTCGTCATAACTATTGTCCTTAGATTTTCATATGACGCAGCCCCTAACACGCAGGGCATCCAAACAGGGACCGCCTATTTAATCCCTCAACATTATCTTTCTCCATATACTCATGTACAATCCCTATACAACTAAATCCTGTGAAGGGACCATACTTCTCTTGAAGGTCTACGACAAATCCATTCAAATGGTGGAGATCAACTTCCTCTGCGTCCACAAGAAGCTGCGGTCCAAACGGCTGGCCCCAGTACTCATCAAGGAGGGCAGGGTTCGGTGTTCAGAGGGTTGTGGGTTTAGGGTTCAGGGTTTAGGCTTTGAGGGTTGAGGGTTTCGGGTTAGAAGGTTTGTATCTGGTAGCTAGGTACATTCAGGGGTCCCTTGCACGTCTTTGCGTCAAGGATTTTTGGGTGAAGAGGGTCAGGCGCTGGTGTCCGGATAGAGGATGGACATCTTTTGTCTTGTGATGAGTTCAGGGAGCCGGGAATCCTGAGCATTGCCAAGAATAAGATCTTGAGCTTAAGTCCGTCTAGCCAAGTATCGCACCTGCTTCAGGAGATCACCCGCCGTGTGAATCGAGAGAACGTCTGGCAGGCGGTGTGGGGGTTCTCTAGACATAGCGGGTGTGATTTTGATTTACGCGTTAGGGTTAGGCTGTGGCAGCTGTACGAGAGGGATTTGGGCAGGGGCGGGAAGTTGCGGCTTTGCCAACATCATGTGGACTAGAGACATTTTTGCATGGTATATTATAGTACATTTTAGTACATTATAGTATGCTATAGTACATTCTAGTATATTACAGTATGTTCTAGTAACGTCAGATGTCCAACCTGAGAACCAGGGAGGGTGTAATTGGCCCCTTCAATGCACCAATGACGTTTCATGAGGCTTCCAACCAAAGGCCGGACTTTTGAATGCAGGCGGTGTGCGGAACAAGCTTTAATGCCGTGCTTCTTATAAGCCCACCTAAGCCCTAAACCCTGAACCCTAAACTCATTTTGAAACCAAAGTTGATCCATGGGAATGCTTGAACTTGTCAGGCCAGGGGAATTTAGTAAGCAGGTTAATGGTGGGGATAACTGGGGTTACTATATGGCTTATAGGGGTCATCAGTATACTTACTAAGTCCCCCTGACCCTAAAAGGTACACCATTTACTTGGATCCATGCACACTTGAAACGGAAGCGTTTTACGCCTGCCAATCAATGGCTAGGTCACAGCCCATGACCTTTTACGACCCATGTTGTCCTTTCATCAACGTTGCATTTCTTTGCCTTCCTAGCTATCTTCGTCTCTGATACCCTGACGTTACACGGTAGGCGGTCTACACTGCGGGTGTGGTGCTGCCAAGGCCCGTCAGTGAGTGCCGCACTTCTGCTGGAACATGGCAATCTTTCCTAGGGATGGGTTTTTAAGTCGTGGCGATACTGCAGGTTTGCAAAGGGGATACGGTAATTTCCCTAAGTAGGGGGACCCCAATATAGACCCCAAACCATTACAATCCCTATTGTGGGGACTCTTAAAAAGGTACCGTTAATTTTGGGAAGCCCCTACACCCTAATCCCTAACCCTAAAGTATACACTTACATATTTCCTAGAACCCTATACAATCATTATTATGGGGACTCGGGACCCCAAAAGGGCCCATATAGGGGTCATAAATCAACGGGGGATCCAGGCGCGCCAGGCCTACCCGGACCCTTACATGCCCCCTTAAAATCTTTTCAGGGGTTTAGGATTTGGGCTTTAGGGTTTGGGGTTGAATTCCAGTAGAGCCCCGTAGAACCCCTAGAATCCGTTTAGAAATGCTCCACGACATTCAGCCCCCTCGCGTCCTATGGAGTAATATATGTATGTGTATATGTATGTTTCTGTGTTTCATCTTCACATCGGGATGTATTGGCATTTCTCAAAATATTTTTTAGATAATCCTGAATAAGGACCTCAACAATCCGTTTGTAATACCTGCATATCCAGTGAGGTCCTTAGGAGGCCCCTTTTTGAGAAACTCACATATGGCCTAAAGCCTGTATATACTTTAAACTCTGAACCTTAAAATCCTACAATTGGTCTACTCGAGCTCCTGTATGCATGTATGTATGTATGCATATGCATAATGTATACGTACATATATATATATATGCATGGATTTTACTGCATCCTTCGAAGTTTCTATATAGGGCTACGTGGCCCAAAAATCAGGCTACTGGCACCGGTCCCTGAACCCCAAGAAGCTGATCGAAGTGGGATTCTCCCACCTGGGTCAGCGTATGACCATGGCTCGGACCATCAAGCTTTACAAGGCCAGGGGGTGAAGGTAGTGTAGGGTTTTAGGATTTGAAGGTTCGTAGGGTTTTAGGATTCGAAGGTTCAGGGGTTTAAGCTGTAAGGTTAGGTGAAGTATTTTTTCTAAAACATTTGGACTGCCAAGAACTGTGTTTGATTGTTGCTAATGACCGTGACCATTAGTTACTTTTATAAGTACTGATGAATCTGGGTGGATATAAATCATCATTGATGGGTATGAACTGTTCTTGAAATTGTAGTAGTAGCAATAATATCGGTAACATGTGGACTGCAAGATGAAGCTTGAGGGACATACTTACCACGACTTGGATCGTGAAATTTTGGTCTTGCAGAGGGCAGAACACTTTCGAGAAACTCCCCATCAATGTGTACCAAATGCCAGCATGCACGATCTTTACTTTCCGTCACCTCTTTGCGGGATCTTTGCGACATCTGTGCTGAGAACGGCCTTCAAAGGTTTCGTTTTGCTCCCAACACAAGCCAAAGAGCTACCTTTGGCAGCTAGGAATGAAGAATGGATGCTTATAGTAGTCCCTTTATGACCCTTTACAGTAGTATCCATTTTCTTTTCCACTCCATTCCAAGCGAACAAGCTCGAGTCCCAAGCCCAGCCTGGCCATCTTAAGTTCGAAGCTAACGATCCAGATACACAAATGCTGGGTCTTTGTTGAAGCGTGTCACCCTGCGTTTACCAGGCCTGCTTTACCTTCCTAGCAACCCTTTGTATGCAGGTGGGTATGCATGTTTTTAGGTCTATATATATATGTATTTGTCTGTATGTATTCTTCTAGGCAACTCGTTATGTACGGATCTATGCCTTCTTGCTAAGCTCGCATAGCATGTTCAGGTGCCGGACACGCCTCAGTTGGCGGGAATGCGCGAGATGCGGAAGGAGGAGCTCTCCCATGCACAGGATGAGGTGGTGGGGCTAACGTGCCCCCAGTTTTGTACCGTGTGATTGGTTGAAACATGACATGACGAGATATTTCTTTCCACTTGTTGGCTCACGAGGCTTAGCCTTGTACGTAGCCGAATTAGCCCAGCTAGAGGCAGTGATCAGTTCCCATGAACCTCCTCGTACCTTTCTTGAGTTGCTAGTCCCTAAGCACCGTGTGCTGCAACAGGGGAAGAACGTGAGCCGCGATATTCTCAGTGCTTCCTCCACTTGATTACGTTGTCTTAGTTGGAAGTTCACGGGACCTCGTCGGACTTCGTACCTAAAATTTGGCCTGTGGCTATACTTATATTTGGGGAACCTACAGGCCAGATTCTTGGAAGCCCACAAGTAGGGTTAGGAGCTAGTAGTTGTTGTGTCAGCTGAGCCACCAAGTAGACATGTGGTCGTTTGGGGTGCGGATAGAGGGATTGGTCATCCAGCAGTTTGGCAAATAATCCCCACCCTTACTTATTTGTGGTATACTGCTATTGCCATAGTGGGAATGTTGGATATTAATATTGTTGAAAATTACAAGATATGGGGAATGTTACAATAGAAAAAAGGGAAGATGTGATATGGGGGTTATCAGTCTTAACTTTCGGGGGAGGGGATCAGAATGCTAAAGCACAGCATTCTGCCTTGCACGCGCTGCCTCAGCCATAAAGAAAAGTCAGACTACTGGGTGTTCTGCTGCACAGGTAACACATATGCCCATGGCAAGGAGTAGGAGTGGTGCAGGCATGCGAAATGTATGGAAGGTAATGGCAAACAAGACAGATTTGCAGCACTTGCCCCACAGACTGCACCACTGCCTTCTTCAGTGCCATACACTGCATGCCCCTTCAAACACTAGACCGGAACATTATGGACAGCAACATCCTGTACGTATTCGTCTGCTATACTTCTCTGCTACAGCACCCTAAGAACTCAACCCCCCCTGTCTGTAGCTAAAGGATGTCAGCCGCGTTCACAGCCTGGTCAGCAACTATCTGAAGACTCGTGGCCTCCTCTTGCAAGTTTTTTTGTTTTCCTGGTTTAAGCCGCGTGAACAAGCAACGACAGAAGAAGAATAGGCCCCCAGATAGAAAGAGAGGTGTTGTTCATGTTTTTATTGGTGCATGAGACAGTACTTGCATTAGTTCTGGTTGCAAGGTTTAGCAGTTCTCAGTGTGTTATGCAAGGGATGCCCATCCCTCCGACACGGGTTCTGTGCCCATGAACTTCCAGAACCTTGCGCACCTGCACTTTCCAGGAAGTTTTCGCTGCATCCGGAGTTCACTCCGGAAGAGGCCTGCTGCCTGGAGGTTGCAGGTCAGGTCAGTCGTTGTCGACTTGGGGGATTTTCAAAGATCGGACGTGCCTTTGTTGAGGACTGTAGCACATGTTGTGTCATGAACTGTAAGGGGCTCCCCTGATTTCTCGTGCCAGATTGGTTGCCAAGTGAACATGAGGGGTGGACAGGGTTCTTCGTGTGCCAGTCCCAAGCAGACTCGCGTAACAGATGGCAAGCGTAGACCCTAGCTATGGCGAATCACTGTAGTGGTTTCCATTCCCTTTTCCATTATCCCCCATGTAATCCCTTTAATCCCTATATAATCCCTATATAACCCCCGTAAAAAATATTCCCTATAGTAGTGCTAAGGACGGTGAATCTTGTGGCCGTCTGGAGCCGGTCAAAACTATCCTTACCGAGTTTGTTAGAGTCAGCCCAGCAATTGGCACGTCGTGTTTCTCCCTGAGACCATCCGTCTGTAGATGAACCATTCCTCCTGTTCATCCCTAGTGACCACTGGGCAGGGCCATCGGTTGGGGGCAGTGTAGTTCAACATTCCTTATTTGGTCTTCTGGGATTTGCCTCCGTGAGAAGTGGAAGCGAATGTGGCCATAGCTATGAAGCAGGTAACCCTCAACTTGAACTAAGTCACTTAAATGAGGGAACCCTATAATTTACTATAAATCCATACTATGGTAACTTAAGCCCTACAGCCCGAAAATACCCATACTATGGTAGCTTAGTTTAAGTTCCTTGACAGCAACCCAATCTGTTGACGTGCATTCTCTGGTCCCTGGGCTTTGGAGCCTGTAGCTTGAGAGCACGCGGTGGTGGATGGAGGAAATCTTGCGCCGGCTAGGCTCCCCAAGTACAGTATTTTCTGGGTAGAAGCTGGGTTGCTGCTCAGGAACTCAAATTAAGTTAGCATAAAATTGTATACAGTAAATAGTAGGGTCTTCTTGTTAATTTAAGTTTCTTCGCAGCATCCCCGTATTTTCTGAGTAAAGGGCACGTAGGCTGGCGGCAAGATTTCTATCCACAATAGCTCCAAGTGCTTCTTAGAACGCGCTGGGACAGGCATGACACCTAGTAAGCATGTTCTGCACGTCATCGTTCGAGATCTTTCTTGCCCTGAACCCTCAACCGTAAAATTTAATGAAGGACCCAATCCCTATGAGCCAGCGATCTTCATTGGAAGCACTTCTGTTTCGAAGTGGTGCGGATGTGCTTTGGTGCCATGAAAGAGTACCACAGACTTTAAAAAACACGAATCAAATTCATCAAAGTCCCTACCTATTTTTCTGAAAGATGTGCTGTTAAGCTTTGTTTTGGCGTTTGAAATTCCAGCAGTGAACTCCTGAACGGGTGGCAGGCCCTCCCCTAAATTGGACAGTGCAACTTTACGTAGGTTGGAAACTCATGTCTAGACATACCTTACGACTTAAAACCTCATCTTCAATCATTCAGGTGGAGCATTGGATGCTGCCGAAGCCAGGGGTCGTGTCATGCTGGGTGCGCGGGGGCCTTGGGGTTCAGTGTGTACGATTCGGGGCTCGGCTAAGGGTTCTGCACGCGGAGAGTGCGCGACAGGGTTGTGATACAAGACGTTGCCTCCAAGTCTAGAGTTTGCAGTTTGGAGTTGGAGACTACAGGGCCCAGTTTGTTACAGTAGGCTTAAAGAGGGCGGGAGGCATAACCGAGGACCCCGCACTGCAAGACTTCACAAAGACCGACCCAGGGCTCGTCCCATATGGTGTTCCAATATGGGACTTGTGCATATGTATACATAGACACACATGTGAACGCATATATGATGTGTGTATATGTATATGCAGGTATATGGATGGAGTTTGCTCAGGGATCCAGAGTAAAGGTGGTGTGAGGGTCGAAGTTGATTGTGTTCAAAGCCGCAACATGAACTAGGCTCCACTGGTCTGTTTTATGATTGGACAGGAAGGCAGAGTGATCAGGTTGCAGTGCTTAAGCAGTTGAGTCTCAGCATTCCTGAGAACGTTTAGGGGATCTCAAGCCACCAGCAATTTTGTAGGATGGTTGGGAAAGCAGTGCAGTGCAAAACAGCAGACCGTCATGCATCTCTGCATGGCCAGGCACCAGCACAGCGCACATGCACACGGGGGTATCCCCTATATAACCCCCCTTTAAGGAGTTTAGACTTTAAATCCTAAACCTTATAAAATCCTCTAGTAAGTAGGTTAATAATGGGGATAATTGGGGTTACTATATGGGTTATAGGGGTTATTATCCTACTTACTAAGTCCCCCTGACCCTCCAAGTAGGGTTCTCAAGTAGCATCCCTAGGCCCAAGACCTGAATCAGTGGCCCCAATGAGCCTTCCAGGAAAGTAGCGCCCCAAGGGGCCCAGGATCTAAAACTTTTCGAGGCAAATTCCTGGGATGCTGTTAAGGAAATTAAAGTACTTTACCAATCTATGTGTATGTAGGAGTTAGGGTTTCATATAATGGGTATGTAGTAAACAACAATGCTTCGTTATAGTAGGAACTTAATTTAAGCTCCTTAGCAGCAACCCAGATTCTCGCAAACCGACAGTGAACAAGGCATCCGGGCACCTCAGCTCAGAGCCTTGTCGGCGCCAAACTATTACATCACTATTCGTACTATTGCTTTTGACTTATTTCCGTATTAATAGTTTTAGTATATTGCTATGTAACCTTTAGTTTCTTTTTCAACATTATGTTTACATTTGTATTATATTACATGATCTCATATTGTTATATGATTGCTACCTCGGTATTATATAAGACTAGTATTATTATGACATTGTTTTAACCCTGAGTTTCCGTGGCCAATCTCAAGTTAAGATCCACGTGTCGATGCGCCCCCGTATGTTATCCTTGATAGCGACTCCAGAGAAGAAACTTCTATTTTGAGAATTGTTGCAAGTCCCCGTCCGAGGTGAGAATGAAAAGAAGGAGGTCACGGATGTCTTCTCCTTCTACAGCCTGCCATCCTCTATTTTGGGCCTTGGGCTCAGAAGGGTTTAAGGTTGAGGTAAAAGGATTCTTGTGTCAGGATTATTTTGCAAGGCACAACCCGAAAATCTGCATGCGGATCTTTGACAGGTTTTCCCACCTGGGTTGGAAACAGGTGCAAGACCACGCAGAGAGTCTCTCCACTGGCTACTTGCTTGTTCTGCTGCATGCGAACTGAGAGCAGGCAATGGGACAATCATTGCCCATGCATAGGCAAGGGCTTGCAAAGCAATCGCGCCTGAACCCACAATGAGGCAATCCGAAGCACAACTTGTTGAGAGCAGCCTACTCCTATTGGAACGTGGCCACGACTGTGCCACTTCAGGACTCATGGGGGCAGGGTGGATGTACTTCCCACTGATGAGTCCCTAGTCTACATGTGGCTCTTAAAGGGCAGCATGTGCACATATCCCTAGCCAATGAGTTGTGCAAACCGCTGGTGGGTCTGGCGAGCAAAAAAATAGTTTCAACATACAAACGGTTGTAGTACGAGGGGGGTTATAAAGACAACTATCATGTTTTGAAACTTCTGCTGCGGCTAGGAGTGTGGTGCTCATCCCCTGACACTGCATTGCCTGGAGCCCCATCTTCCCTATCATTTCCTGTGGGTCACAGTGCGAGTGGCTGTACTCATGACCAGTGTCAGCCCTCAGCACTAAACCCCACGCGTCCAACAGCCAGCCTTGGAAAGCAGGATTTGATGCTCGATGCGCTGAGCGTAGCCAAGCAGCAGGCCGAAGCCTCGGAAAGGTTCGGAAGAGAGGTCTCGAGTCTAGGGTTGACAAGGGTAGCTTTGAACATGATTCTTAGTTTATCTTACCCTTAAACCCTGTATAATTCCTCTAAGGCTGTAAGCCTTTGATTTTTACAGGGCCCCGCGCCTACCGAAGTTCCGGGTTCACCACGGTCAGTCTTGTAGGAGTCCCAGTTGTAAGAGGCCGTATGTATAGATAACGGTTGTTAATAACATGTTGTAGCCCTTTCTGCATGTGCCGTCGCAACAGTTTGAGCTGGCAGCCTGAGACGAGACCTGCAGCTTGCTTCCCAGGGCTTTGATGTGTTCAATGCCTTGGACATCATGGACAACGAGTCCTTCCTGAAGGACTGGGAAGCTTCTCACGCAGACTGGCACCTTCATCTGCAGGGGTCACCTAGAAATCCTGGACCTTCACACAGCTACACTCCTTGGACTCCCCGGCAACCAAAAACATGTTCAATTTGTGAACCATGCTGCCCACACACTGACGATTTTGCTCCATTTGAGCCATGGTCTAACTCCTGAAAACAGGTTATATAAAGGGCTATATAGGGGACTACGATACGGGCTATACTAGGAGTTTGGACTATAGCTCATTTTGTTTGGAAACATGGTCGGCTGGCCTGCCTTTGCATTTCAAAGCCGCTGCTACAGCTTCCCTGAGCTGGGTGGAAGAGAATGTCTTGAGCTTCGGTGAGTTCTGGTCAGAGGGATGAATCCACAGAGTTCGGCCCGGTCTCTTCATCTTTGTAGAAGAGCAGTATGCAAGATATGCATGGGCCCTCTGAAGACATAACTAAACCTATTATCAAACCCCCTGATATTAGATACTCCCAACATATGATAATATACCACACAATGGGCGTATTTGATATTAGGGTGGTGTGGGGGTCCAATATTAATATTGGGGGGAGGTGAATCCAGCCCAAGCCGGAATCTGCAAGCTACTGGGTTGCGTTAAGGAATTCAAATTAAGTTGCCATATTGGTATATATATATATATCTAGTATAGTTACTAATAGGGTTTCCCCAACATAGTAACTTGATTTAAGTTCCGTAACAGCAACCCAGGCTAAAGCTGTCTTTGAGCAATGCCTGCCTCGATTCATCCTTGGGAGTTGTGCACAGTCTTTCTGCGTCAGATGACTTCATGCCCTCAACCATTGTGGACCCATCAGTTCTGTTTGAGGCTGCTGTGAAGAAACTTCAGAAGTTGCAAAAATAGAATGGATATTGTGTCTAATGTGCCCATATTAAGGTGACTGAATTTCGGTTTCGTACTTAACTGCAACCCTCAATTGCAGGACCTCAAGTTCGGTATTGGAGACGGGTACTTGCAGCCCGGTGTTCATCTTGCTGGAAGATTTGAGGGGTCGCAGATGTTGAGGATCCAGGGCGTTCAAGCATTGAATACTTAGGCTATAGGGTTAAGGGTGTGAGGGGTGTACAAGCCTGCGCAACCCCCAGACCCTGAACCCGAAATCGTAGATCCCGAACCCTAAGCAACAAAATTTATAGTTTTTCTCATGTCTTTTCCGTTCCTTACCCGAAATCTTCACGCTAAGTCTTTGCAGTTTGCATTTCCTGGCTTAAGGAATGAGATTTTCAAAGCCATGATGGGCTAGGGCAGCGAAGACAGGGTCATGTATCTTGGGGTCTATATCCGGGCCCTACCATGTTAGAGACTACTATGGTCATGCAACAGTCGTAGTACCAGCAGCAGTAATTACTTCTAATTCAATAGGCTTTAGAAACCACTCGCCATCCACCTGGGTGGCCTTATGGGGCTTACCCCAGTTATCACAAGCAGGGTTAAGCTCCCAGTTGCAGTTATGAATCCCGCCAACCTCCAAGTTGGGTTCAGGGTTGATGGCTGTGGTTTGAAGTGTAAATGAAGGTCAGGTGACCTGCATTTGAAGGAGGGACCTGCTATGAGGCCTCAAGTTCGCACAGAGGCTAAGGCAGCCAAGTATCTGGGAATAATGCTTGTGAGTCCTGTTTGGCAACTTGTCCATGTAGCTTGCCAAAACATGCTTCGGAAAAGGGAGCAGAAATCTCGAATGCTGAGCCAAAACCCTTCACGTTCAGCCCAGCTACGCGACTATTCTTTCAAATCTTGTGGACTGTCATGTAATCTCACCTCCCATTTGCTCCTTCCTTCGTGCCTTGGCCACAACCCCCCCAAAAAAAGGTAGCCATACATCCACAACTGCCAAGGCCTAACACATTCCCTTAAGCCTTTAAGCCAGTTCTTTGTAGCAATAAGGAAATATGATGCAACAAAACGCCTACAGTGTACAATATATTCCTTTTTTCCCTACAAAGAACCATGAAGTGAATATTTATCCCCCTGCGTACCTTGTGACAAAGTATGGACATGCGAGCGGCAAAGCCCACTTTGTGGACCTGTGCCAGCTTGGCAAGTTTTTCCCCCTGTTGAAGGCCTATGGCAAACACAACAACTAAGCCCTGCCCTCTGCGAAACAAAGAAGGAATGCCAAAAGGGGCCTTACGAGACTTCCGTTCTTAAGAAAGGGGTCTATATTATGGGGATTTCCCAAAATTAGGGATAACTTTTTAGGGGTCCCTATAATAACGATTATACGTGCAGAATATTTCCAAGCCCGACCCTGACAAGCCGAGGCAGTATTACCTCTACAACTGGAAGTGTCCCAAGATTGAGCCGCGGAGCATCGGGTTGGTACTCTTGTAGCTCCCATCCAGGAGTTGGACTGTTTAGGATTAAGGGTTTAGGTTTAGTGTCTGTAGCATCTACTGGAGGAGCATTTGAGGCCCTGTGAGGCTGTGAGAGGTCTACGATTTCTGGATTTCTTAGGGCTGTGTTCGGCGGATGTGCCTCTGGGATCTTGATGGCCGGTAGTCAGTTAGGGAATCCGTGAGAAAGTCTTCTTGCCCCTAAATTGGGCCACGGGAGAGTTTGTCATATTCCAAGCTCGCAGCGGACTGCCGTAGGCAGCCAGGCACAAGGTCTTTCGACAACTCTCCTTGCTGGCGTTGTTGCCCCTAAATCCTAAACCCTGCACCTAGACGCTAAACCCTAAACCGGGACTCTGCTTAAACACCAGGACCCGGTAAAACTCATTTCATTGACTGTCGTGCCCGTACTGTCAGACTACGTGGGTTGAAACATGCCTGCGTGAAGGTCTCAGGGGTTTCATGGCACCTGCTCATCATAAGCTTGAACTACGTGTGTTTAACCGTTTAACATGGAAGCATAGTGAATCAGGCCCTAATCCCAAGGCCGTACTGGACCCCTTCCTGGCAGACTTACCTGGAGGGTCAGGGGAGCTGAATAAGTTTATGAATCCTTTATAAACTTGTAAGCCATTAAGTCTGTTCCCTTATGAGCCGTGTAGGAACCCCAGTTATCCTTGTTAATCTACCTTTTTTGTTTTTTGTGCCCTGGCCCTCCAAATATAAGTCCGGAGGAGAGCGGAAGCATGAACCTAGAGATAGCCAAGTTCAGGGTTCAGGGTTTAGGGTTTAGGGGTTAGGTTTGCCCCTAGGGTTCGGGGTTCAGGGTTTAGGCTGTAGGGTTTAGGATACTGCCTTCCCAATAATGGAGAACCACATGCAAAAGAACATGGAAAATGAAAGGAGAAGGGCGATGATGACAACACTACTACTGCGCTGATTACCACTGTAGTATAGGAATCACATTTATGCTTGCTGCTGATCCACTAGACTGTCGCAGGTGCTATAAAAACAAACTGGGAAATAGTTTGCAAGGGCTTCTCTGGTTCAGTGGGAGCAGACCCCATGTGCCATTTTCATGCTTTTGTGTGACAAAAGTTTGGACAGCCATCGTGTGAGGCCCAATTCGGATGGGAACTGTGCTGCGAGTCAGGCCAACACTTTGGCCGGCGGATGTTTGCAAGCATTGGCATCAAGGGCACGCAATCCACAGACTCTTAGTTGGGGATGGACCCGTAGAACGCTTGTGCACAGGCTTTATGGGACCCACAGAAAGCAGCGGTGTTCTTGACCAGGATCCCTTGCCGATATATCGCCAAATCTGGAGCTGGTTCAGCAGTTGGATAGAACTGTGAAATGCGATTCCAAGATGATATTAGTCTTGCCCAAATCTCGCCACCTGCGACTGAGCACAGTATGCCTCCTGTTGCGAATGCTAGCGTTCCTTTTGTACCGCAGCTCTCCTCGCCACACGAATTTGGAAAGGTTCCTGCATCCTTGCGATTTTGGACGCCATGCCTGCTCAAATCATCAGGCAAATTGAATGCCTGGTTTGATGCGCAAGTAAGAGCTTCAGCTTCATAAAGCCACTTTCTGAAAGCAGACACTGGGATTTACAGCCTCTGGTAAACTTCGAAGACATTTTTGAGGTGCGTCTGCCCCTGAAGCCTGTGCTTTCGCCGGCCACAAGGGCTCTCCGGTTTTCAGAACATCGGACAATGTAAAGTTCCCTCAGAAATAACAACCACGACGACGCAGTGGTTGCGGTAGGAATGCGTGCTGCGATCACCGTGAAAGTTCGGCCATACCATGACAAGAAGCTTTAACGGTCATGTCCATCCCCAAGTGTTACTGCCGTAGCAGGCATGGTTGCCACTGGTGGTTCTTCTTGTTCGTCATCTTCCTACTCTTGTTTTGCTTACTGGCATCATGATTCTCATTTCTGCTTGGGCTTTTACTATCATAATGGCTTCCCTCCGCCATGGTTCCTACGCACACGAACGCTAATTAGTGCAGTGCACGAAGATGTACGGGTCCCCCCACTGCTTTGTCCCGGAGCCTCTGAGCGGGACTGGATGCCGGAGGACCCAGGAGGAGTCGAGAAACCGGCAGGGTGACAACATCTCACCCGGCAGAGCGAGCGAAAACGCACCTTGTTGCATTAAGCTTTACTACCCAGATCCCTGGAAGGATCTGGAATGTAGAGCCCCCAATTTGTTACCCTATTGCGTAATCTCTGGGAACCCGTAAGGGGGATCTACTTTCTAGATGCTCCGAGGGTCTGTGTCTGTGCGCGGGTCTCAATGATGTAGTTTCATGCACATTGGAGCGGACTTGGTCTTTTGCTGGGTTGCTGTTAAGGAACTTAAATTAAGTTACCATAATGGGTATATATAGGAAATAATAGGGTTTCCCCAATATAGTAACTTAATTTAAATTCCTTAACAGCAACCCAGTTTGTTCCAGAGGTAGGCTTTCCCCAACAACCAGAATTAGGCGGTCTGAATGAAATTCAGGGCCTTCTGCCAGGGCATGTGTATATCTTATACGCGGTTAAGGTTTAGGGATTAGGGATTAGGGTTTAGGGTTTAGGGTTTAGGGCCGAGACCTCAGGTTCACCTGCAGGGGAGCATTTTTTGACTTCAGCGTCGCAATTATCACGGCTGTGGCTGTGATGATGAGGAATGTCTCCATTTGTAAAATTGATGGCTGGGAAAAGTTCCTGAGTTGAGCTGCAGACACGACGCCCCCAGGCTTCGTGTAATCATTCAACGAAAGTGCTTGGGATGGCAATCCCATGACGGACCTTTCCACATGTGGCTGCAGCCTACTAGCCAAAAGTTACAAGTTATCATGTCGAACCATACTGCTATAGTATAGTAGTTTCCATTTTATTTTCCACCTTCCCAACATTACCCTATTATAACCCCAACATATCCCTATCTGGGAAATCTATAGAGTTTGTTTGGATCATGTCTGTCTACAGCCCTGCGATGGAGAGCCCGGCAGCATCTTCCCGTTTGCAGGCCGTGGCTTCTGTTTGGTTTTGGAAAGCTGTGTCAGTGAGGGGCTTTTTTTGGTGTCTTTAGAGATTTATAGTTGACATGCTTCTTGTTGATCCATACCCTTTTGATTTTTGAAAGACAGGCAGTCAAACCTATTACCATTCCAAGGAAAGAAGATCAGCAGTGGAAATTAAAGGTAAGTCTAGAGTAGAAGGTACCCTAGACACTACAGTGTAAACCATAGATTAGGCCAGGCACGGCAGAGTAAAAGGCCTAATCCTAAACCTCCCGCCCTGAACCGTGTATGGTGTAGGCCGCTGATGGTTTCCTCCTCCTTCTCATGTAGCGGTACTTTTCTTTTGGGTTCCGAAGTTGCAGCCGAAGGCCTTGAAGTCAGGGCCACGGCTTTTGGAGCCTTGCGAAGCATGTAACTGTTGGAATTCAAGTTCCTTACAGGAAGACCTGCAGCCACAGTGTTAAAATGCTTTGGTTAAGATGGCATTCTCCTCACTTAGAAGGGAGTTGCTCAAATCAAGCAGTCTGTTGTACTGAAGGTAGAATCATCGGTATGGCGTTTTATTGTAAGGAATGCTCATCTGCGTAAGTCTGTATCGCCAGACTAATCCGTGTTTTGGATTGTTTCAGGGAACCGCTCCTCCTTCGAGCATAAGCACGACTAACTACCAGAGCTAGACCGTGTTACCAGGCTGTCGCTGAGTCTCGCTTCAAACTTATTAGTTTCGGGTTACTAGGGAATAAAAGACTATAGTATATAGGGGCTATATAGGGATTATGTACCCTTATTCATTAATAACCATCAGTCGAACTTACTTATATTGGGATTACATACCCTTATTCGACACTAACCACCGGTTCCTCTCAGGGCCTTCAATTTGCTAAGCTGCCAGAGGTGCGGAAGTCCCTGAGTTTTGGGGCCTGGGGCCCTGTGGGAATTGCTCCATTAACCTGAAACCCCAAACCCCTGGTTTAGGGTTTTAGGGTTTGGGTTTAGGGTTTAGGGTTTAGGGTTTAGGGGAGAAACCTTAAACCCTAAACCTTAAAAGCCCTAAGCCGTAGAAACCCACCTTTGCAAGCCTGCAAGTTCCCCAGAAAGCCCAATATCCCTTTGGGGAATATACCCAAAATTTTAATAGGATCCCGAATTTGATTGAATGTAGGTTCCCTCGTTAAGGGATATGGGGCTGAACGCCATTCCCCAAACTCTATTTAACTCATTTTAGTGGTTTCCATTTTCTTTTCCATTATCCCCATATAACCCCAACATAACCCTAACATTACCCCAACTTACTTAATTTAGGGGATACCCTAAACCCTAAACCCTAGACCCTAAACCCTAAACCCTAAACCCCACTCCTTAATTTTAGGGAGCTTGCTGGGCCCCCAGGATGCCGACAGCTCGCCGCCTCCTAGCTTCGCAAGTGCAGCCCGCAAGGATGTAGACTACACTTGTGGGGGTTTTCTCAGTCATATGAACTATAGTCTAGGGGATTATATAGAGTTTAGGGTTTAGGGTTTAGGGTTTAGGGTTCAAGGTTTAAGGTTTGGGGTTTAGTCATATGACCTGTAGTCCAAAGTCCTTAAAGGGCGTCATATAGGGGACTATATAGGGTTTAGGGTTTGGGATTAGAAGGGGACTTATATATGGATTATATCGGGAAGTACTATAGGGATTATTAAGGGCGATATTTGGAGTTTAGACTATAGCTTATATCATTCCTCTTCTGTAGATAGAATATGGGGTAGATGGGGATTTTCTTGATAATAGAGAGGCAAATGGAAAAGGACGTGGAGAATGAAATGGAAACTAGGAATGTGTGGGGATTCTAGCGGCTATATCTAATGTAGTCCCCCTTCAGTCACTGTAGATAGAATACGGGGTATATGGGGTTTTTCTGTTGATAAGCAGCAATTCCATATTGTATTTACTTAAGGGAGACTACTCTCGTGAGAGCCTATGATGCGTAGTGTAGGC